GAGAAGAAGTCGGGCCGCGGGGCGGCAGAAGAGGTCGGGGCCGCGAGGTGGCAGCAGAAGTCAGGGCCGCGAGGCGGCAGAAGTCGAGGCCAGCCAGTAAAGGCGGCAGAAGAAGGCGATGCCGCGAGGCGGCAGAAGGCGAGGCAGCGCGAGGCGTGCCGTTATTCGAGACCAGCTTCCAAGAGGAGACGAACTCTCCAAAGTCTGCCTTTGGTGCCTGCTAGAGCCCCGTTAGGCTAGAGAGGCAGAAGCATGGTCGGTGGCCTGAAAATTTCTTCATCACTAACAGGCTGCTAACAGCCCGCAGAAGAGAAGAATTTTTACAGGGGAGAGTTGAGTACGGCAGCCTATACTCGTCCCACAGACCTACGTAAAGTGGGTCCTCACCACCTGTCTGTGTCAACGGGATGGCTCCGGACAGACAGGTTCGGACAGACAGATTGCAGGGATTATCGCGCTAAGCATGGGTTAAAAGCCATCGCGCCTCGACTACAGCCTGAACGGGCATAAGTGCCAATTTTCAGTCTAAAGGGAAATCCACTACTCGTCCCACAGACCCACGTAAAGTGGGTCCTCACCACCTGTCTGTGTCAACCACCTGGCTGTGTCACTTTACGGCTTCAACGCCAACTTAATTTAATAATAAAACGGCAAAAAAAGTTAAAAATTGATGCATACGGATAATTGAATACTGGCCGCAATAGTCTACCTATTTTTGACCTTTGTAGCTTATAAAGCTGATCGTTGGGCTTCTTTTTCGACTTTCTTAGCCGCCCGGGCTGTCCGTCGCTCCTTGAGCTCAATCGCCCTTTTCTCCCTCTTTGCTTCGCCAGTACCAACTTTTCTGCTTTTGCAATGCGAATATCTTCCTTTGACTTCGCAATAGCCCTCCTTCGTCTACAGTCAGTACTCCACCGCTTTGAAGGTGGCGGTTCTTGTATTTCTTCCGGCCTTGGCGTTGCTGCTCGGCAAGCTTGGTATTGTACAGATCGACCATCGTTTGCTTTAACTCGTGGCCTTGGGAGATTGCACCTTTAACGTAGCGTTGAAGGTTATGTACGAAGACCTCCTTCTCAATATCATCAATTGGGTCAAACTCAAGGAGACGTTGGCCAACTGATTCAAACTTCCGTACGGTATGGGGTACCAAAGGGGATGAATACGGCTCTGCAGGTAGCTCTGTCGGCGGCGTCTGGTCCCGTACCCTCTTTGAGTCTCTCGAGGATTGGCTTTGGATTGAATGGGTGGATTCCTGTTTTTGAATGCCGAGAGGATTGTAGACTCCTTGAAGGCTTTGACGCGGATTGATTGGATCATAGCGAGGAACTCCAGCTTGGTGATTTTACTCGCACCACTGCGAATAGCAAAATCGACTGCCCGACTGTGGTAATGTTTATACGGCTGAAATACCACGACGTCAAGCGGTTGAAGGAGATGCGTAAGATGCGGAGGCAATGCAAAGAGCACAATATTATGGGCTTCAGCGTACTCGATAAGGTCAAGGGTATGGTGGAGCCGTGGCCGTCAAGGAGCAATAGCCTCCAAGCACCTTTGCTCTTTGCATGCTTATCGAAATGTTGAATCCACGCTAGATTGAGCTGATCGTTCGTAAATCCCGTTTCCGTAACACCAATAAGGGTATCGCCATCTAGCTCCTTGATGCCGTACCACTGTTCGAGGTGGACCTTGCCGGATAGGATCAAAAACGCAGGGATGTATCGACCATCGGCAGAAATCGCTTCAACGGCTGTTGCCGACTCCCTGTTTTCCTCAATACCAAAGTATTGCGATCGCCTTGATTTCGTGACGACAACTTGGTCCCTGCCAATACCAATACGGAAGCCCGTCTCGTCCATATTCCAGATATCAGCCGGGTTAATCCCGTACGAGGCAATCGTCTCGTGGAGCTTCTTGAAGTACTCGGTAACGTGCGGGACTGATTCGGCAAGCTTGCGTTGGTTATCGAGTACCTTTGTTTCATAATATGATATCCCTTGCGTTTAATAAAACGGGATATCCAGTTTTGCCAACAAAGCATTGGGAGTCGAAGGGTTCGTTGCGGGTACCATCAGGGCCGACCGTGGAGCTTAGAACCCGATTTGCTGCATCGCGTAATAAGTCCTTCCGCACCGCAAGTCCTATACGCTCAAGACGATCGATATACAGATCGATTGAGTCCTCTTGAGCTGGCGATAGCCTCGTATGCGTTGGTTTATGGCCGCTGCGAGGTTGGATGCCGTGAAATCGCAAGCGGAGTCGATCGCGTGGAACCCCAAATTCCTTAGCCGCAGCGCGAAGGGACATATTGGGATTTGCCTCAATGGCTTTAATAGTCTCGGCTACGCGCCTTTCAAGCGTAAGCTCTTTATTCTTCATAATGTGCCGTTGTTGAGGTCAAGATAGAGGCTTGAAGCGGTGAAGTGACACAGCCAGGTGGTTGACACAGACAGGTGGTGAGGACCCACTTTACGTGGGTCTGTGGGACGAGTACTGGGATGTCTGGCATAGGGATGTCCCAGACGGTAATCAATACTACTACTACTACTACCTCCAGAGCGCAAGCTGAGGGCGGCGATGGCACCCAACCCCGCGGACCAGGCGCGACTGCCGCCCCAGGAACAAGAGCCGATGACTCCCACGAACGCCCCAGGAGCTAGAGAAGCGCTCCTCCGGCAGGCCCCACGCGCGGGTCTTGCCGAATTACTGTTGCCACGACGCGCACAGCAACCCGACGACTCTCCATTCGGCTCCACGAACAGCGACAATGCCCACACCGACACCGACCAGCTAGATGCTGTAATGGGAGACGCAGCAGACGAAACCGAGACCGACGAGCCGGACGACCTGCCCGAGGCTCAAGGCCCAGCAGTAACGGTTGCCCACGCGGCAGAGAGACTTATCGCCAACCAGATGGAAGCACAACAGGCAAAGCTGGCCGTCTTCCGCGCATTCTGCACCGCCTTCGACAAGACGGCTGCCCAGTTCAACTCGGGCCACGCGCTCAGCTTCGCGAAGGAATTCTCGCGCGGCTTCATTAGCTACTGGGACGACGCGCTCAACGGCGCGCCCACACGCGCCGGTCAGAATGTCAACAACCGCCACGGCAGAGACGGGACCGCACCGACCTACGCCGCTATGGCCCAGAAGGGGATGGCACAGACAAGGGCCCCTGCCGGCACGCCTCGGCCCGAAGCCCCGGAAGGCGCCTCCGGTCCAGCCGCCTAAAGATGACCTGCGTGTCTTCGTGCGGCTCGACGACAAGTCCCCAGCATGGGGCTATCAGGGGCATGCCATCAGAGCTCACGTAGCTAAGACTCTCAACCTAGGGACAGAACGCATGCCACAGATCGCCCGGGTTAAGACTGGATGGGCTATACGGGCCTCAGACCGGGAGGCGAGGGACCTGCTTGTGGAACGGCAGGACGACTGGGCGGCCCGCCTCGGGGCCGTGGCGGTTGAAGGCTTCCAGAAGTGGCACACGTACGCTGTGGCCGACTGCCCCAGGCAGCTCACGGATATCTGGGGGGCCGCCGTGGACTATGACCAAGCTATCAAAGAAGAGATCAAGCTCCAGACAGGTGCCGAACCAATTGATGTGCACATTGCTAAGAGATACCCGAAAGCTCCGACCAGCCCACTGTGACAATGATTGTGTCCTTTCAGGCGGCGATACAGAGGAGATGGCGGCTCTTCGGCACCAGCCGACTAGCCCGACTGATCGCCAAGACCGCCCGGCCCGCGCAGTGCGACACCTGTTGGGATTATCACCCCGCTACGCCTGCGACCGAAAACAAGCCTGCCGACGATGCGGCGGGAAAGACCATCGCGATAACGACTGCAAGCAGCCGGAGAGGTGCGCGAACTGTTCCGGGCCCTTCCCGGCAGACCATAAGGAGTGCCCTGCCAGACCCAGGCGCTCACGGCCAACTCGTGCGGCTCTCCAAGATCGAGAAGTACGCCGTAAGGAAGATCGGCTCAGCTATACCGGCAAGCCAATATGGAGCTCGAACGGGCCACGGCGACCGCCTCCCCCCAACCCTCCCAAGGACCGACCCCGTCGCCCTGCATGAGAGCTGCCGAGGCCCGCCTAGGCAAGCAACAAGACCAGCAGCAGCAACAGCAGCAGCAACAGCAGCAGCAATGTCGACCCCAGCGGCTGTCCCCCACCAGCGCGCAGGCGCCAGACTCCACAACGCTCCCTCCACCACAGGAAGACAGATCCGAGTCTCCTATGAAGAGGCGCCGACGAAACGTATCCCTGGACCCCTATGAACAATAGGCCCTAACACTAACAACTCGCGACAGGAGGACGATCCGAGTTCTCCAGGCCAACGTGGCCAAAATAGGGGCCTATCATAGCATAGCCCTACGACTAGCGGAAGCAGAAGACTACGACGTCGTGCTCATCCAGGAACCGAACGTTTGATAGAAAAGAAGGCGGAGCCTGCAGGACCCAGACGCACCGCTCCTTCCACGCATTCGCCCCAGAACGCGCCTGGGAACCGGATCAGGCCCCGAGAGTGATCTCGTATGTCCGGAACCACCCAGATATACGGGCAGAGCAACTCTGCCCCGCCCCTACGCGTGATATCCTGTGGCTCCGGGTAAACAGCACCCTTATTATCAACTTCTATCGACACGCGAAGACACCCGAGCCACTCGACTACCTCCTCCACCAGCAGGACGTCCCCGAGAGATGCCTCATCGCGGGCGACTTCAACGCCTGTCATTTCTCCTGGCAGCCTGGAGCCCGGAGTGCGAGGAACGGAAAGGACATCGCCCAGTGGGCGGCCGACAAGGGGCTCGGACTGCTCACCACGCCAGGCGAGGCCACACACGCCCGCGGAAATACCATTGATCTAGCCTTGCCAATATCCCTCTGCTGACGCGCTTATCGAAGAGCACCTTCATACCGGCTCGGACCATTACACGATCAGCATTACGCCCCGGCGGATTCCCCAAGGACGATAGCTAGACCAAGGGTAAGCTCCGAGGAAGAAATGAAGCGATTCGAGGAACTTGTGCGGGCTGGGGCCACAGCACTACCCCGGCTGGCCGTTGAGCCCAGAGGCCTGGAGAGGCTGGCCGAGGCGCTGTCTCGCCTACTCCAAGAGGCGGCCGACGCAGCGGGCCGACGGCCCAGGAAGAACGCGAGAGGCACCCCATGGTGGAACGATCAGTGCCGGTGCAGCGGCCGAACTAAGAGCTATGCGGCGGATCTACCCCACAGGGCACGGCAGAGAGGTCCAGACTGCCCGGCGGGAGCTGCGCCGGGCGGTACGGCGGGGTAAGAGACATTTCTGGCAGACTGTTCTAGAAGGCGCCGAGAGCAACCAGGATATCTATAAGATCATGCGGTGGTCGAGGAAACCGAGCCCGTTCCGGGCCCCGCCTATACAGGTAGGCGACCAGGTCTTCGAGACCCAGACGGAAAAGGCAAACGCGCTCCGAGTCGAGATCCTAGAAAGGCGCGGGGCCGCGGACGACATCCCGGACCCCTGGGCCCCAGAGGTGCTGGCCCCAGGGAGGACTCTCGACTGCAGCGTCACGCTCGCGGATGCGGCATGCGCCTGCACCTCTACGGGCAACACCTCCCCGGGGATCGACGGCATCACGGTTCGAATGCTGCGTCGCGTCTGGAACCACATCGGCGAGGCGGTGAGGGGACTATATGAAGGCTGCCTACACCTGGGCTACCACCCCGCCTGTTTCCGCGCAGCAGAGGTCGTAATGATCCCTAAGCCTGGCAAGAGGGACCTGTCTATTCCGAGAGGCTGGAGGCCGATTTCTCCTAGCTTGCCTCGGCAAGGGACTCGAACGCCTAATAGCCCGGCGCCTAGCCTGGGCTGCGATCACACAACGAGTCATCCACAGCCAGCATGCGGGTGCCCTGCCCAAACGTTCAGCGCTCGACCTAGCGCTAGCATTGCTCCACGACGCGGAGACGGCCCTCACCGAGGGGAAAGTCGCCACGCTAATCACGATGGATATACAGGGCGCCTTTGACACGGTTCTGCGGAACCGGCTCCTCCTACGCCTACGGGAACAGGGCTGGCCAACAAACCTGGTCCGGTGGGCAGGCTGCTTTATGGAGCAGAGATCGGCCAGAATACGGCTCGAGGATATAACGACGCCGACAACCCCTGACGTGCGGGCTGCCACAGGGCTCCCCGGCCTCCCGATTCTCTTCCTCCTCATACAGTGCCCATCTACTCGACAGGGGAACCGAACTCGCGCTTCGGCTACGCAGATGACGTGGCCACCCTGATCCGGGGCCGGTCCCTACAGGAGACGGCCGCCCGGGCCACGCGCGCCGCGGGTGAGCTCATCCAGTGGGGAGCCGATAATGGCGTAGTGTTCGACCCGGGCAAGACAGAAGTCATCCACTTCACGAGACCGAGATACAAAGGGGACCTGCCGTCGGTCTGGCACGGGTCCGTAGAAAAGGAGCCACAGCAGGACCTGCGCTGGCTCGGCGTCTGGTACGACAGAAAGCTCTCATTCCGCACGCATGTGGAGAAGTGGGCCGCGAAGGCGATGACGGCCGCAGGGTTCCTCCAGAACCTCTCAAACACCCGGCGCGGAATCCCTCCCCGGTCGACACGGCATGCGGTCACGGCCTGCGTCCTCCCGATCCTTTATACGGCGCCCATGTATGGTACCCGGGGCGCTTCGGCCTGTGTGGGGACTGCCCGCTTAGTTCCGTCGCGGATCACCTACCTGAAGAATAGGATCCAGCTGACCTTAAACGTCGCGATGCGCGCCATCGCGCCCGTCTGGTGTACCATGCCCATTGTGGCCCTCCACCGAGAGACCGGGATCCCCCCTGCCACGCTGCTCCTCGCAGACGCTCAGAGACGCGCCGCGGTCCGTCTACGCTCCTAGATGAGCGGCACCCTTGACACCCCGTATGAGCATCCTCCCAACGCCTGGCCGGGAGCTAATGAAGAGGCACGGTATGCGGGCCCTCGCGCGGCCCAGAAGCAGCACGCCTCGAGACTCCTGCGTCTTCACCAAATGACGGCCCATGCTCCGAGGCCCCGACTTCTCCCCCCAGCACCCCCTCAGCCCGACCCGACAGGGGGCGTAGACAAAACGCAGGCGGCGAGAGACTTCAACTCGTGGCTCCGGGTATGCCCTGAAGATACCCTCATCGTCTACACTGACGGCTCGCAGAGCGAAGACGGCGCCTGCGGGTATGGGTACTCAGTGTGGCTAGGCCCTAGCGAAGTGACCTACGGCAGCGGTCGGGTCCTACTCGCTGAGGTCTACGACGCAGAGGTGGAAGGCGCCCTCGAGGGGCTTCGAGCGGCACTCACGTGGTCCCCCAGGACCCCGGACCAGCAGTGCCGGATAGTCGTCTGCCTTGATAACTCTGCGGCTATAAGAGCCATACGAGGCAGCCCATCGATCTCGTCGCAAGCGGCGGCGGAGAAGTTCGCTGAGGCCGCGGCTCGGCACGGAGACGTCAGGACGCGCTGGTGCCCCGGCCATACGGGGATCGCCGGCAACGAGCGGGCCGACCAGCTAGCAAAGGAGGGCTGCCGGGCCTCGGCCCGGACAGGCCGCCGACGTACGCGAACATCAAGAGACAGGCCAAGGCTGCGGCCAGGCGCGACTTCCAGGACTGGTGGGCCGCGGGGGCCCCGAGCAGCTACAAGAGCCTAGGGCTCAAGGCCTCGCTCGGGTGCCCCCCGGAGCTGCACACCAAACGACAGCACCTCCATCACCTGCTCGCTGCGAGGAGCGGGCACGGGGACTTCGCCGACTACCACGAGAGGTTTAACCACGAAGAGGCCCGGATCGAATGCTCCTGCGGGAGGAGAAAATCACCGACACACCCTTCTACTGCCGGAAGGTAGGTACTCGACACCGCCTAAGGCCAGCCCCACGGCGGGCAAGGCTATCAACCAGGCACTAGGAAGGGATTTGACCGGTTCCTCGGGCTAGTAACGGAGGCAGGATTCTTTGATCGGATTTGCCACCGCCACTAGCTCGAGGCAACCCCCCAACCTAATATGTACAATTCTCTCTTTTCTATGTTTTCTGCCCGTAGGCTCCCCGTGGGCCTACGGCCCAGCTGACTGCGTGGGCTTTCTCAGTCACCCGGCTCTGACCGAAGACTGACTAATATTACGGCTTTACCGCCGTGCCCGGAACCCGCTGACGGGGGAAGGGACCTGAGAATCCGAGCGGCCACAGAGTCCAAGAATTGCTAGATAGGGGAGTAGAAGTAAGGAAGGCGCGACGGGTTTCCGGCGAGCACCCTCATCTTGTACTATACCTAGCCTAGCACGTCTTTTGCCCTTATAGGGATGTCCCAGACGGTAATCAATACTACTACTACTACTACTACTGGGATGTCTGGCATCCAGGTGCTCGGTCTTAAGGTTAATATGTGGGTTATACGCGACACCAGCCTCATGTCGCATACCATCTGCGATCAGAGTAGTTGCTCGCGGAAGTCCGAAGCTATAACCCACGTATTAAGCTTAAGGTCGAGCACCTGGATGCGTTGTGCTTGGACCCGTTGAGGTCAAAGCTCAAACACAGACAGTCAGGCATCGCCAGCGGCCTCGTTTCCAAGGTTTCTGCATCACAAAGCAGAACTCTCCTTTCTACAGCTAGCTCTTCAAGTAATCCTCATCAATTAAAACGATGCCAACTGTGATCCCTGTGGAGCCAATTGTCTGACAGCTGGTCTCTGTGCGACGCGGTGTGCTTGCGGTGGTACCCGTGCACCTATTGGACCCCGCCCCGGGCGCCAGTATATCAGCCGCCCCATCCTAGCCACCGATGACACAGGAAGCTTCCTATCCATAAGACTCGCGGCACGTAAAAGACGAAGCCTTAGTATAGTCACCGCCTTGATACACTGGCACTAGTGGATAGGGACACAGGTTGCGACGTTGCCTACCATCTACCGTGGCCGCAGGCATGATATCGGGGCAATGCCATGTTCCACCCAGTTGACGAGGACGGAAAGGGGATCATCAGGAACCAAGCCGTTACCGCCGCCACAGTGGCCGACTCCCGGGGCTTCAAAATAGCGATAGAAATCTCGCACGGCAGGATATCTAGCTTCAACGCGCATATAGTAAGCCTCTGAGCCTGGGCTAAAAATCTGCTGGTCGGCCGTCCCGTGCCAGTGGAGTAGTTTGCCGCCCGCCTGGCGGAAATCTGTCAAATCAGGGTTGTCCGTGCTGGTGATGTATTTATATGCGCTGACAGATAATGTGAAAGGCCTCTAGTGAGTTGATACAACTAACTAGTCCCTATGCTGTTTACTATCAAGATAGAAAAGAAAGAAAGAAAGAAAGAGAATCTACTACATAAGAGCATAACGGCATTTTATAGCTTCGAGCCAATGGAAGGTTCTAGAAGCTAGGCGGCGCAGCCGCCGTTAAAGCGGCTTGCCCGTTACATTACCTCCTCCCGTCCAACGTTTCCTCTTCCTTGGGATCGTGGCAATCTGTGTCAAGATGACTTGAGAAGGTGACACTCTTTTTATGTTTCTTCCATTGCTTCCATGCATCAGTGTGTCGAATAGTGGGAAGGGGCTCCCACGTAGGCTGCGAGTAATCATGCCATTTTACGAGCACCTTCTTATGCGTACCTTCCATTCTTTCATCCAGAATCCTTTCGACGAGGTACATTTCTTGGCCGTCCACCAGCACCGGTGGGGCACTCTCTTGATCGATTTTCTGCGAAGGCAATGGGTCTCGGGTACTGGCCGGAGTAGATCGACGTGAAAGACTGGATGGATACGTCCAGGCACATCCAACCTATAGGCATGTGGGCTGACTTCGGCGAGCACTTGATATTTGGCATGTAACCAATCGAGCTTCTTGCAGGGTCGCGATGTTTTGACATTTCTCAAGTTGAGGTATACCCAATCCCCAGGCTTGTATCTCGGTGCGGCTGTCCTGTGCTTGTTGGCTTGCGCTTGCTGTATTTCCTGGGCCATAGCTATCGCTGCTTGCGCAAACTCCGTGGCATCCTGTAGTCTCTGAATAAAATTCTCCGCTGCAGCTTCTTCCTGTGTTGTGTCTTCCGTGCTTCGATGCTCAACTAACTGGATTGGCTCATTGTGGTAGCCGTGCATGAAGAAGAACGGACTCAGTCCGGTGGAGGTTGCTTCCGCTCGTTAATTGTCGCCATCGCGACTGGAAGCAAGTCCAACCAGTTCTCCTGCAGATAGTTTGTCCATATCCGAAGAATCCTCTCTACCTCTTGGTTCATTCGTTCTGTTGCACCGTCGGTTTGTGGATGGTACGCCGTTGACAACCGCTGCTCGATCCCTAGCAGCTGACAGAAGTGTTTCCACATACCACTGACAAACTGGGGACCCCGATCACTGGTAATAGCCGTTGGGATGCCATGGACAGGGTAGTGTCGTTCGAAGAGTCTTCTTGCAACCGCTTCTGAAGAAATATCGTGTAATCCTTCGAGTTCGACGCCTTTGGTGAGTCGGTCCGTGACCACCATGCAGTTCGTCGCGCCGTCTTTCCCCGACGGTGGGAGGTCAGTAATAAAGTCAATGGTAATTTCGCTCCATATGCGTTGCGGAATAGGAGCGGCTTTAGGAGTCCTTTCTTTGTATCCCTCCAGATGGTGTTTCGTCCGCAAACCTCGCAGTTGCGCACAAACCGACGTACATCGCTAGCGGCACCCGGCCAGAAGAAGCGTCTCGACAGAGTCGAGTACGTGAGGTCCCTTCCAGGATGTCCGGTGATATGAGAGTCGTGAGTTTCCTGGATGATCCTCGTACGTAGCGGCTCCGAACCGGGTATCCAGACGCGTTCTCTAAAGCACAGCAGGCCCCTATTGTCTAACGAGCATTCTGAAATGCTGACAACCTTCTCCTTCTGTAATCCTGTTGGCAAACTCTTCGCTCCATCTGCTACCAGCTTCGTGAGTTCTTGATAGAGCTTGTCTTCTTGGCGTGCGGCGTGCCACAGCTGCTGTAACTCCTCATCTTCAAATATCCTAATCTCTTTTCCGAAGTTGATTTCCTGGGCACCTCGGTGTTGGTAGACAATGTCGATATTGGGATCCTTCTAAGGTGATCATCTTGGAATAGCCTCATAATGCGTCCCTTTAGTCGTTCATCGGAGTAGTTGGCCGGCATATCCTGGTCCCGTCGAGAGAGCGCGTCAGGCAATCCACCCTTGCGGCCTGGCCTCCATTCGAGCTTGAATTGGAACTTGGACAGGAACTCCGACCACCGCACTTGTCTCTCTGTCAACCTCCTTTCCGAGTAGAAGTATCTCAGGTTCTTGTGGTCCGTTAGGATCTTGAAGTGCTCTACTGCCCGTAGCTCTGGTTCCCACTGCTCCAAACATCTGAGAATGGCGAGTAGCTCCTTGTCATGGATAGCGTAGTTCGCTTCGGCTGCCGAATGTTTCTTCGAGAAGTATGCGACAGGTCGTACCAGTCCATCCTTATCATCTCTCTGCAGGAGCACGCCTCCCGACGCGAATCCTGAAGCGTCCGCTTCCACGATAGTCTCCCTTTCTGGATGGAAGTGTGCAAGGATCGGGGCCGTGATCAACAGGTCCTTGAGTTTCTCGAAGGCTTCTTCGCACAATCCATCCCAACGGAATGGCACGTCCTTCTTCGTTAGCCGCGTTAGCGGCTCCGCTATCACCGAGAACTCTGGCATAAACACCCTGTAGAAGTTCGCGAATCCGATAAAACTCCTCACGGATTTAATATTCGTCGGAGTTGCCCATCCCTTCACAGCCTCAACCTTCTCTGGGTCGACTCGGATCCCACACTCCGCCTCGATGATGAACCCAAGGTATTTCACAGCCTTGACTTCGAATTCGCTCTTGTTGATGTCCAGTTGCAGCCCAGCGTCCATCAGTCGTTGGAGGACCTTGCCGACTTTGTCGCGGTGGTCTTGCAGGCTTCCAGAGGAGAAGATCAGGACATCGTCGATATACGCTGACACAAAATCATCGAGGTAATCCTGGAGCACGCTGTTAATATACCGCTGAAAGGCTGCTGGTGCGCCTGTCAGGCCGAATGGAACTACCAGCCATTCGAAGGATCCATAGCGCGTTCTGAAGGCTGTCTTTTCTTCCTCGCCAGGGCGACCCTGATCTTATGGAACGCTGCTATAACATCTACCTTGGTGAACCACCTTGCCTTGGCTATCGTTCGCAAGGTCTCGCTCAGTAAAGGCAAGGGATAGCGGTCCCTCTTCGTTATGTGATTCAAACCTCTGTAATCCACGCAGAAGCGGATGCCTCCGCCGGGCTTCTTCACCATAAGGACTGGTGCTGCGGCTGGCGAACTGCTGACTCTAATAAATCCCTTGTCGAGTAGTTCTGTGAGGGTCTTTCGTAGCACCAATAGCTCCTCGCGGGACATGCTGTAAAGCGGTCCCCAGGGTAGGGCTTCTCTCGGCCATGCTCGTCTTTCAGCACTTCGATCTTCAGGTCCACACCTGGCCGATGAGGGGGCAGCTGGTCGGCCAGTTGCTGAGAGAAAGCTCGAGACCACTTGTGGTACTGTGGTGGCAGCTTCTCCATTATGTCAGTCTTCGGTTTCGGTCTTAGGGCCTTGTCAATATCCGCCATCGTGACCGAGTGAACTCCAATGCCGCCTTTGCGTTTGTCACGGCGTGCTTCTGCTAAAAGGTTGCGGCCATGACATTAGAGACATCTAGCTGGGGAGGCTGGTAACGTCGTCGGTCTCGTACTTGAACTCCATTGGACCCGATCTCGAGATATCCTTCCTTCGCATGGATGTGAACATCCTGGTCTTCCATCCATCGTTTACCCAGGATCATATCCCAGTTCAGATCGTCGATGACGTACATGAAAACACGATGCTGCTGATGTCCATCGAGGTCGATCGACACATACGTGATCTTGTCGATTTTGACCTCCTTGCCGTCTCCGGCTGCGTTCTCCAAGATACGCGGCTGAACGCGTATATGTGGCAACTGGAGAGAGTGAAATGTGCGCTTGCTAACCGCGCCGTAGCAGAGGCAGCCATAGTCGACAAGAGATGGCACGAAGTCTGTGCCGTTCACCCTGACGTCTGCTATGAACGGTTCTCCGTCCATTTTTGCTTTTCCGCTCACATCCCATTCTCTCACAGCCGCCGCGTGTCCCTAGTCTGAATCTTCATCGCTATGAGAAGAAGTATCGTCTTCGGTGACCTCGGCTTTAGTGACCGCTGGTCGTGACGGGGTCACGGCATTGACCTGAGTGCGTCGGGTCGTGTTTGCGGGTCGGATAGGCGCAGCCAATGGACAGCGCTCGATTCTGCAGTTGTCTCTTCCACAACGGAGGCAACGCCCTTCACGGTAACGGGCGTCCATCTCGGCCTGGTCGACCCACTTGGCACGCTTGCCCAACAGCGCTTGGTCTTCTGGTCGCTTGGATTGGTAACCATATGTGTTCTTATCACTGCGGGTGCGCGTAGCGTTCACTTTCGCGGATGCTTGTAGAGTTGGTTCCCATTCCATCATATCCTCTCGTCTAACTTCGGTTTTCTGGCCAGACTGTTTCTGGGCAGCCTGGCCTCCATGATTCTGGTGGTTGTCATAGTTGTCCGAACTCTTTGTGTTGCCTCGAGGCCTTTTCCACTGACCCAACAATTCCATCTGGCTGCTCAGCGAATCGCACCTCCTCGCCAGCCCAACATAGCTGCTGATGGCAGAGGGGTCAGAGCCTATGAGGGCTGCTTTCATTTTATCGTTTAGGGCCTCCTGGAGGTAGGAAATCTTGCTGTCATCTGGCCAATACTCGGCGTTGGCGTTGGCGATCTCCCTCTCAAAGCGGGGGTAAAGGACGTGAACGGTTCATTCTCTCCTTGCTTAATCGAATGCAGGTTGCGTGTAGCTCTCTGCTTGCGATCCCTCTCCCGTACAGCAATTCGAGGCGGTTGAGTAGTTCAGCAACATTGAACGTTTTCTTCTCGGTTTGCATCTCCACAAATGTGGTCACGTTGTCTTTAGCCTTGCCTTCTAGGCTCATGAAGATGTACATAAAGTGGCCTTCTGCATCTCCAAGGGCTTCTTTGTCGACTCGTAGCTTTCCTTCGGTTTCTAGTTTCCAGCTTCGCCACTGGGCCTTGTCGCCGCCGAATTTCGGTATGTCTCGTAATTTGGGGCGCTTGGTTGGGTGAGGGTTGTGAGTGGCGACCACACGGGTGTCCTCAATGGGGACAGCCGGGGTGACAGATGGCGTTGGCTCTAGGAGTTCAGACGAACGGGCTTGCTGGTGTTGTTGGAGTTCCAGGGCAATAAAACGTTCTTCAAACTGGGTGTTTCTTCGGGAACTCTCTTCTCTCAGACTTCGTATCTCGGCAACCAGGGCGCTGAGGACGTCCGGCTGCATGTTGTTGTTATCTTCGGCCATCGCGACTTCGCTGAACGCTAATAGTTCGACGGGACTCAGTTTGGTGTCTTCAGTGTCTTCGGTGTCTTCGGTGTCTTCAGTGTCTTCGGTGTCTTCAGTGTCTTCAATGTCTTCAGTGATCTTGATAGTATGTGAAAGGCCTCTAGTGAGTTGATACAACTAACTAGTCCCTATGCTGTTTACTATCAAGATAGAAAAGAAAGAAAGAAAGAAAGAGAATCTACTACATAAGAGCATAACGGCATTTTATAGCTTCGAGCCAATGGAAGGTTCTAGAAGCTAGGCGGCGCAGCCGCCGTTAAAGCGGCTTGCCCGTTACAGATAGATTCACAACGGCGTCAAAGTCGTCAGCTGAAATATTATCGAGGTCGAAGTCCTTATCCTGACGAACGAACAGCCTGATCCACTCGTCGCCGGTTGAAAATGGATGGCCGGTACACTTCGTACCTTGGCAGATCGTCTCGGCTAAATCTTCGAACGAGCTTCCTTTTGACATGCCATGCCATATAGGTGTTCCATCCGCATGCTTTGGTCCATCCCAGATCGTCTGTACCAGTTGCGCGTCTTCTGGACTTATAACGACGGTTCCGTTTTCGCAGAGCACTCTTGCACCGACCATAGAGTACGGATCGAAGTTGCACTGTCCAGGTAGGGACAATATGCCATCTTCTACACCGTCTAAGTGGTCGCAAGCTTGGATGGTCGCATTGACCCAGTGTGGCTAACAGACAGACCGTCTGACAGACCGTCTGAAGGTGGTCTGACAGACCGCAGACCGACCGACCGCCAATTCTCATCAGACCGACCGACCGGAGCAGTCAGTCGGTCTGGGTGGTCTGAGTCGGTCTGACTGGACTGGTGTTCCCGTGATGCCATTGGTCCGTTCCGCCTTAAGGTAGCACCTACCTAATGTCAACAAGTTACGCGTCTGCCCTGCCAATTTTCGCGTCTTCCCATCCATCTACGAGCTACAGTGTATCATACCGCGTCATTATGTCTTCTAGTAGGGATACGAGCCCCGTGTCGTCTGTACCGCAGTCATTTGCATCCCGTCCACATCCCACCCCAGTTAATGACAGTCATGAGGCTACGCCTGCCACGTCCGAGGCCAGAGCAGACGAGACAGATGCTTCACAATGCGAATTTGACATTGATTGGGAGAACATCTGGCACGGCGGCAAACGACTTTGGGTGCCAAATGAGACCCCGTCACAAAAGGGTGGTCGGCACAAAGATCAAAGAGTCGTGGATCTACAGATACGGCGCGAACTTGGAGCATAGCGGAGTACGTTACTGGCTTTGCAGAATCTGTCACGGGAAGAAGAACTATTCGACAGCGTTATACGCCTCCTCAGGGACGTCTCACGCCGCGAAGCACCTGCGTCGTCAGCACCAAATCACGGAATTCGGCGAGAGTCGTCCCGGATTGAAGACTCCGTTTACCTTGGCGGCTACGTCACCATCCTCTTCGTCCCTACCTTTATCTCGACAGGCCAGCCTAGCTACCAGCTCGCCTCCCATTTCGACGAGAGGACATGGAAAGCTCGCTTTGTGGACTGGGTCATAGTGGAAGATGTCACCTTTCGACAAGCATCCAGCGAGCGGCTTGGGTGGCTCGTATCGAATGGAGGAGAGCTTGCAAGTCGGCTACTTCCGGAGCATCACACCACGATCTGCTCATGGATTCGTCAAGCCTTTGAACGCCGACAGCAAATTGTCTTTGATCTCGTCAAGAACGCGAAGAGCTCGGTTCACACCAGCTTTGATCTATGGACTGCTTCAAATGCGTTTAACTACGTCGGAATTGTCGGACATTTTGTTGGCAGTGAAGGCCAAAACGCGATGTCCTTCTTGGACTTCCGCGCTTAGTCGGTCCACACTCCGGTGAGAATATCGCCGCCTATCTCAAGGAGGTAATCGATCGATACGAGTTGGGGTCCAAGCTTGATACTTCATGCTTGATAACGCCAAGAGCAACGATACCTGCCTAGAGACGCTTGCTAGGTGGTTTCCAATGGATGTCAGCCGACGCCGCCTACGCTGTATAGGCCACGTTATCAACCTGGTTGTCCGAGCAGTTATTTTGGCTCCAACGTCAGTAAATTCGAGGCTGAGCTTCGTGGAGCTACAGATGAGTTCAAGTTCGACATTTGGGCCAAGAAAGGAGCTATCGGCAGACTCCACAACATTGCCACCTACATTCGACGGACAGATCAGCGACGACAGGGTCTTCGGCATTTGCAGACCTGAGCTCGCTGGTGACGATCCTATTTTTACCCTGGAGATTGTTGTTGACGGCAAGACTCGCTGGAACTCTATATACATGATGATCAAACGCGGTACGTTTCTCGTCCGAGGTTGCTTCCGTATTCTGAGTACTGACAACTTGTCGGCTTACACCAGCACTCGAACTGCGCTGCGCCATTGAGCTCTATCAATCTCGCTGGCAAAAGCCTAAGAATGACCCTGATCACCGTGACCTACCGGTAACTAACGACTTCCTCAACGCTGGGGACTGGGTTGAATTAGAGCGTTTCTACGAGTTCTTGAAGCCGTTTTATATCCTGACGAAGACTATAGAGGGCAACGCCAGTAAGCCGGGGGCGGAGGGCGGCCACGGCGCTCAGGCGCTGTGTGGGAGACACTTAAAACCATGGACTACCTGTTCATGAAATTCAAGCAGGCCGCGGAGGATACTCAGTTCGAGGAGGCCTCCCATTTTAAGTCGGGAATTGACTGTGGATGGGCGAAGCTTGAAGACTATTACGTCAAAACCGATAGGACACCTGTTTATCGGGCAGCTCTAGCACTGCACCCGTCGTATGGGTACGACTACTTCGAACGACACTGGAAGAAGGCGATGAACAAGCCGCAATGGTATAGCGACATGCAGTCGGCTGTTGGTAGCCTATTCGATGAATACCGGAGGCAGACTGAAGTTGAAACTCAGGCTCAAGCTGGGTTTTGGAAGACGAATCCGAGGAAGTCGACGCTGACAATGACTACAGCTCGTTTGGAAAGAGATCGATTAGCTCGTTAAACACACAGCGGAAGAAGGTCAAGGCAGTGAGTGAGCTTGACTTATTCCAGACCAGGCCAATTTACGCCCAAGATCTTGACGTTGCAAACCCTCTTGAATGGTGGAGCCGGCATCAACTGGAATACCCAGTCTTGTATCGAATGGCGCTAGATCTGTTCTCAATTCCTGGCATGAGTGCTGAATGAGAGAGTGTTTAGCCAGACAAAGAAGATGATCACAGACGAGCGCAATCAGCTATCGCCTGAAATAGTCGAGGCTGATCAGCTTCAAAAGCAGTGGCTAATGAGAGGGTTGGTAGCTTAGTAGGTGTCTATAATGAAAGAAAAGGTATTTTTGGTCTGTGGTTATTTGATAATACCCCATACCGTAGCACCACGGAATCAGTCAATCAGACCATCAGACCATCAGACCGACCGGCCCTCCAACCCAGACAGACCTAGACCGACAGACCGACAGCCACGGCAAACCCAGACCGACAGACCGAAGGGGCCGGTCTAGGTCTGTCGGTTTGTTAGCCACACTGAGATGACGTTGTCATCTAGAAGGTTCGATACCACCGCTTACCAACGACATTATTCATCCTTCTCAGTCACCTTTGCTAGAGTCAGCCCGACTAGGTGACCTTCGGACTTAGATCGTTAACCCGTTTTCACGACAGGTCCTGGAGCGGCAGCAAGCTCGTAGTTGTTGTGATGCGCAGCAGTACGTCAGGTAAGGTGCCGATTTAGCCCCCAAAGACACGTACAGCATCAATAGAGAGACCTATAGATTCAAATTGATCAATGGCTCGTCACTCTTAGCAGGCAGAAAATCCTTCACCCTTTGCGCAGTCCCAACACGCAGCGCCAGTGCTGTTCCTTGTGTCAAGCGATATTCCGCCCCAGCCGAGGAGGCGTCCCAACCTACAGGGGCACCATTCTTGTGTATATAACTGGGACCTTTGTCCCCTTGACTTGGGCAGTGGTCAAGGCCAATTTGACTCTCAATAACCCTCACATGCATGGCATCTTTCCAGTTATTTGTGACAGGTTATGAGCCCGGACTGGCTCTCAAACGCTAAGTGTTGCCATTTGAGCTAATTTTCGACTAATGCATTGTCGCAGAGATCGAGATCGATGATTCGTCCTTTGTCAAGCTTGAACCGACTCGTCGACGAACTCAAACAGCGCCGACGGCGGGGCCAGGATCGGGGCCAGGGCCAGGGCCAGATACGGGTACAGGTAGGGACCCCGTGCCCGATGACCCAGGTCCAGGCCGGGACCAGGTCCAACTCGAGGTCAGGGCCGTCGGGGCGGAGGACCCGGCTGGGAAAGCGGACCGCCCTCGTCGACGTAAGCCAGCCGCCTCGTAGAGTCTTTACACATATTTATATCCATGTAACTAGACATATTTTTGAGGATCAAAGGGCCGTAGGATCAGTGCATTACTATCTCACAGTTCCTGTGGCCGAGCCTAGCCCCCCATTACCCATTCGCGGCGCTGCAACGCAAATATCTCGACGGGCAGTAGCCTATACGGAGTGCTCCTCGACCAAACGCGCCGCCGGTGTAGTAGTCCCCAGGCCCCGGAATGGCCTGGATTGGGCTGCTGGCCGTGGAGATATTCGCGTGCGCGCCGCCGGGCACTTATCAGATGGTAGATGTGTAATCGCATACGATTTCCCGAAATTACTCCGCAAATCGACCCCACGATAAGTCCTGCTTATCAGAGAAGACCAAATTATGGATGGTTCTGTCCACACGAGCCCGTAGCTCCTTTACCTACTTATCCTAATCTTAGGGCTCTGCTAGAATCGTCCTACGGACCGTAGGGACGGCAGAGGAGTCGGTTTTCGTTATCGTTGCGGAAGAGGGGGGGCAGAAAAGTCGGGTATAAATCGGCTTTTCTAATAAGAGGGGTAAAAGGAAGCCACGAGGGATGCAAGAAAGGTGCCTTTTACAGCAGCCGGAAGGTATAGGAATTCTATTCCTCCCGGGCTTATAACTCTCGCGAAGAGAGATGCGAGAAGTGCATAAAAATGCACGAAGGTGAAATTGGAAGTAAGGGGTCGGACAGGCAGGGCAGAGAGATTTGATTCTTGCGGGAGCAGCAATTGCGGCAGGGGAGTGATTGTTGTATTGCCTTGATTCTCCTTCTTTCCTCTATCTAACGCCCTTCTTTATACCCGTCTAGTATCTTAATTAACAAAGAAGATCCTGCTTAAAGAAGCCACTAATGTCCTCTCGACTACCGAGCTTTTTGCCGGTTTTTCCCCTCCTTTCTAGCCGTTGCCGGCACATCCGTCTTATCTCTCGCTACCTCTATAGGAAGCTATCGCCACTTCTGCTTCCCCTCTTGCCCCTACCCTCCTCTCTGCACCTCCTTTTAGCTCCTTCCTTAAAACCTGTTTTTTAGCTTCCTAGGTCCCTCGTGCTAAGGGATATCTCCGAGAACTGCGAAATCAGGCCACGCTTCGCGACAATAATAGTTTAGACGAATTTACGTTCCTTTTTATACCGCGAAAGCATCCTTTATAGATCGGGCCTAATATAGGCATGCTTATTATAATAATACTAAGGTATACTTCTAAGTATAAGAGTAGGTTAAGCTATATAGTAGTCTTAGTAAGGTTGCCTTAGAACGCTAACGAGTTAAGCGCAACGATATAATAGATAGAGATAACTATATTCCTAATAAAACTTATATTAGATTCCCCGAGATATAATCCTAGCGTCTTAGGCAAGAAAGATATATAGGACTTGTAGCAGCCTAGCTATAAATATAGTAGTTAGGATAACTTTAGTTCGTAACTTTATCCTTAACGCTTAGATAGTCGGTATAGGCAAGCATATAATTATAATATTAGTAATAGCGTTAAAGCTATTAATCGCGATTAAACCTACCTTTTCGTCTCTATATTTATCGCTAACGCTCGTATTATAGAATACCGCGAACGGACGGTAAACTAAAAAAGTCTAGAGAATAACGCCTATACTCTAAAGTGCAACCTAGACTATAACTGCTTTTACGGCGCGTCTTATAGATAAGATAGCGAAGGTCCTAAGATAGAAGAAAAGGATAGAAAATTTTATTATTAGGGTCGAGGTAGCAAAGAGGAGGACGTAGGCAATAAGTAACTAATAGATTATTAGCTCGTCCTTATATACGAAAACATAATTCTTTAGGTAGCGTCTATAAGAGGATATATAGTTACCCGTAAAAGTAATAGGATATTTCCTATAATATCGGTTACGTCGTAGCTATAGCCGTAGGCAGTAAACGTAGCGGAAATACCTAGCATCGTAAGGCCCTAAGGCTAGGCGCTTAAAGCATTAGTAGTAAGCGCAGTATCGGTAAAGTCCGGAACTAGAAGGCCTACTATTGCAATAAAGATAAGGCTATCGTTTATTCCCTACCCCGCTCTCGATATCTTACGCGAGGCTAGCTATAGGGCTATAATTACCTAGGCGATTAGAACTATAACTAAATTAGCAATAAGATTTACTACTACCTATAGTTTAAGCTTTATAGCATAGTATGCAATTTCTATCTTAGAAACTAGCGCGACTTGTTTAGAAAAGCTAATAATTATAGTCTAGTTAAGAGGTATAAAACCTAAAGGTGCCTTACTATAGCTAGCCACGGTCGGTGAGCCCGGGTAAGTAGGATAGCTAAGCTATATATTAGCTATAGTAAGACGTTAGCTATTATTAAGCTAGGATATAATGCGGGCACTATAGTTACCGAATAAGTTACCGAATTAAAAAGGGGGAGAGTTTTACTATAAGGGCACCCTTACTACGGCCGTTAAGTAGGCAGCAAATAATTTAAGGCAGAAGAAGCCCGCGTTAGCAGTTAGCGTATATATATAAGACCCTACGTCGACTCTATAGCTTTAGCGTATTAGCTTATTAGCTTAAGGCAACGGGCGAACCGGGGTTTACTAGCTTAGAGCCTAGCGCCTTATTAGTACTAATACAATTAAGTAATTAGTAAAGTACGGCGTGGCCTATATAAAACGCGGCTATACTATCCTTCTCTAGGCCCGACCGAGGCTATGCGCCTATTACGGGCCCTAGCTAAAAATACGCGGCCCGATTAAAAGCATATAAAAGAAGTTTAGAGAGGGGGAGGCCACTATAGTCGCTATCGGCATACCGGTATACTTTAAGTAATTATGCTTTACTAATCTTATAAACTTAATCGGGGTGCGGCTTTAAGCCTCGATTCTCCTTAGCCTTATCTACTTAGTCCCCTAAATCCTTTCGATTTAATTAGACTACTTTAAAATATATCTATTAACGAGCTATAAATAGAAAACTATAATTATATCGTTATTAGTAGCGGCACCGCTGGCTTTTTAGTTGCGTCTAGCTTAAGCGAAGACGCGAGCATAAGCGTCCTCGTAATTAAAGCTGGCGGCGATAGGAGCTATAATCCCCTTATATTGACTCTAGGCGTTAGGACACGAACGGGAAAGACCAGTATAACTAGAACTTCATCTCTCTACCATATGAACGCCTAGCCTCTAGGCTATTCCTCTATGTCTTCTCCCCGTCTAGTGTGTCAAACGACATTCCGCCCCAGTCGAGGAGGTGTCCCGACCCACATGGGCACCGTTCTTGTGTATATAACTAGGACCTTCGTCCCCTTAACTTAGGCAGTGGTCAAGGCCAATAGACTCTCTATAACCGTTATATGCATGGCATCTCTCATTTCCTTTTAACAAGGAGGACGTCGTGAGCTGCGACGACTCCCAGATGGACGACCTTGTCGTTGACCCGCTGGTAGTGGAGGGCTCCCGACCAGCGCTGACTTCAATTCAAGTAAGTCAAGTTCGGGGCTGTAACTTAATTACTTGAAATAAAATCGGCCGCAAACTTGATTAACTTGAATTGAATTGATATACTTAATATACTTGATATCTGAGGCGAGAATAAAATTACCCTACCGGTACAATGCATCACACCTCCTCTTCATCCCAACCTATCAGTTCCCCACCAAAGCTTACGACCTCTCCCACGGTGATTGCTTGATGGCCTAGCCAGTTCCGCAGACACTGTATTTCCTCTATGATCTCGGGACTCAAGCTGTGCCTTTGCGAACTTACTGTTAACTTTGTAACGCTAAAAGTTCGCTCAGGATCGCCAGACATGGCAGGAACTGCCAGTATGTCGAGGGCAAATTGGCTCAGACGTGGATATTCTTCTCGGTGATCCCTCCACCAAAGGATGGGGTTAAGGTTCTCTCGCCGGACTGGCCCTTGCCTCATATAAGCTCCAAGCTCATCGTCTTCTTCCATCGCGTAGTGATCGTAGCTCTGCATCCACTGATCGAACTGACTGGGCTCATCTTGTCGCATCACTTTACCCATCGCGGTTCTCGCTGGATCGGACCGCTCTCCAGGTGGATAATGTTGATCGAAGAATGCCCGGACACTGTTCTTAGCGTCCCGTAGCCATACTAGTTGCTCGCGGCTGGTCCAGTTCGCCTCAAGCCAGGACACATTCCAGCGCGGGTGAAGAATAACGGCAGCTGTATAAAGTGGAGACTGGCCAAGAAGACTGTAGTACTCATCAAGCTTTGACCAACAGTTGTTGATAGAGATTTGTATGCATCGTCGATGGTCATCAAGTCTCTCGGCTTTCGAGGATGCACCAGTGTATGCGTCTCGAGTGTGCTGTGGCAAGTGCCTCTCACGTCCGCGACCCTGGCCAGCTCGTGGCGTACTACGTGCTGCGGATCTGTTAGCAAAATGATGTAGGGCCAGAAGATATGAACTCAAAAGCCGTACTCGTGCTTGCCGATGCTCTGGCATTGCGTAGCTCATCAGAATTATCATCAGGCGGCGAGAATATCAGCTTTTGCTCCTCGAAGAAGTTAAGCAAATACTCCATTCCGACCATCACTTCCCACAAGGCGCCTTATCGGCCTTCTTTAGCCCAACCCTGGCACCTCAAGGCGATCTCGTAGAGTGGTTTAAGTAGGCTCTGTATCTCCGTCAAGAGAAGCCAGTCCTGTGGTGAAAGATGGTCCTGGGCAGGCACACGTTGCCGTGGCTCGGCTGTCTTCGTTTCGAGATACGCGATGAAATGGTCAATCTGCTCACGTTTTCGAATGGCACGCTGGATCATCAGAAAAGTCGAATTCCATCTGGTTTCATTGTTCTGCATCAGCTCAAGGTCGATGGCAGCCCGCTCCTCCTCAAAAAGCTGGTAATCGTCTTCGTCGCACCGGTTGCACGATAGAGACTTCATCAACTCTCGCCGTTGTGGGGTGGCCCTGACGAACCGGACCACGTTATGCAGCTTGCCTACCGCGCCCCGTTTCCGCCAAAATTGAAGCTACGCTCTTTAACTTGGAAAGCTGCTTCCGTGAAGGCTTCTCGCTCAAATGAGTCGGGGTCTTTCCCCCAGAGAAATGCTCGAGCCGCAAGGTTGATAATATGTCCAAAGCATCGTGTTCGGTGGTTGCTAGCATCCTCTTCGGTCATCACAGGAGAAAGTTGACGATAGAGGCTTGCCAAGCATGTGTCATTTGACGAGACATTGTCGCAGACGCCCGCGCCTATCCGATCTCGTATCCCGTACTCGCCGAATATGTTATATATCGTCGATGCTTGGTTGTCTCCGGAATGAGATCCCCACACACGGCGCAGCGCGAGAAGTCGCGATTGGACTTGATAGGAAGCGTCGAGATAGTGAGCGTGGAGGCCAAGGAAAGCGTAACGGTTTGGAGAAGTCCACATGTCAAAGCTAAAGCTAATCTTTGTCACTGCCTTCTCTAGTTGACTGGAGACTGCTCTCTTCTTTACCTCAAATAGTTTCCGCATGGTATCACGCACAGACTGCCGGTTCCATGGCACTTCCTTTGCCAATGACGCATCGTGTAGCTCAAGGATTCGTCGCAAGTACGGATTCGACGGAGCCGTGAAAGGAAGATTGGCAGTAACAATCCAGCCGACCGTCAACTCCTTGGCTTTATTGACATTAGATCTTGCAGTAGGAAGCTCTAGGCAGCGTCGTTTCGAGGGAGGGTGAATGTCAGCGCAAGAGGTATCCTCGTCCGCATCACCCGACGGATGGTTCGTTTGAGTGATCATATGAGACCTATATCTCGTAAGAGGCTGGCAACATAAACGTCTGGCTCGTACGGAAGCTATATATATACCTTCGGAGATGCTCAATGGGCGACGTGGTGTTGGATGCGACAAACAACGAGCTTTTCCCCTGTTCATCGCATTTCGAGCAGACCCAGTAGGTCTGCAACGTTCGCGAATCAGAACTGATCTCTATGAGGAAGAACCCATGCGCTTGAATCCAGCTCCGTCGGCCTTTGCGATTCTTGTTGGCGATATATTCTTCCGGTATATATCTTTTGCAGCCGATACGAACTCCCGGAAGGTCGGCAAGTGTCGCTCTCCCGGGTTCAACATTGACAGAGGCATCGTCAAGCTGTTGTTTAAGCGATTTGCGTTGGCTGTTACTCCCCAAAAGCGTTTCTAGAGACTGCTGTTGCGCTGCCATGGCGAGGCACTGGCGGACCGAGGGTCGCAACCTGATTAGAGCATGCTCTATAAAGAAGCGAGGGGACGGCTTGGACCCTGATCTAGATCAGACGCGTCTTGACCGCACGGGCAAACAACACGTGAACATGTGGCGCGACCCCTGCCGCGCTCCCCGGCTTCCATTGGTGCGATCAGCGCGGAGACTTGAGTTCATACCCTATAGGCCGATGAGCTGTGAATGTCCTCATCTGCGCGCCCCAGATCGACGCCCAAGAAATCCTACGAAATCTAGCATTTCAAGTATATCAAGTTTTAGGCATCGTGAACTTACTTACTTGAAATAAATCGAGCAGTCAACTTACTTGACTTACTTGAAATACTTGAATTGATACTTGAATTGAGGTCATCACTGCTCCCGACATGACTGTCTCGGCAAGGAGAGGGAGAAGTCTTAATCTAGACTTGCTAGTCGACACGGCACCAGGAGCTGTTCCAGTGACTGGACGGCGGCCCCAGGGTCGCCCGCGCGAAAAGGATGGCCTTAGTCGGCATCAAGTGGCACGAAAGTCCCCGACTGCAAGAAATAGGCAACATGGCCGTCACTAAAGCCATGCTTATTTAGAAGCTCCCGTAGCTGCTTGTTCTCCTCGGCTACTGTCCTCGCGGCTATCTGGATCTCGGTCGAAGCCTCGATGCCCTAGAGCTCGTATACCCTGAGTCGCTATTCGAGTTCTAGACATACTCTCTCCGTCGGGCGCGCGATCTCCTTTAGTTATCTCGAATTTAGACTAAGCTATTCTTCTGCTAGAGCAGAGAAAGAGAGACGGAGTTTCGTATTAGAAAAGGCTATTCCTATCGATAGCATTACCTAGGTTTATATTACTTACTACGGGGGCTAATATTTAGCTTTAAGGCTTATCTATAGACTCTTCTTAGCTAGTAAAGGAGGAAAGTAAAATAAAAATAAAAATTAGGTAAATAGTCCCCTAAGTAGAGTATCGGCTTAATACTAGGTGTCGGGAAAGAATAGGGGTTAGTAAAAGGAAAAATAAGGAAATAGATAAAACTTATTAGATCTCTAGTAAGGGAAGTATTTAGGGAAAGAATAAGTAAGATAGCTATAGTAGCTTTACGCCTTCTTTGCCTAGCCGCGTGCTAGTTATAGCGTAGCCCTTATAGTCTTCCTAAGGGCTTAGATAAAGGATAGTCGGATTTGCATTTTATAGGTCGCATTTACCCCGTGTTAGTAAGAACTAGAACACTCGCCCCTAAGTTAACGTAATAAGTCGGTTAGTTAGCTTAACTAAGTCTTAGGAGCCGCTCGCTTTAGACCCCCTACTTATTTACTAATATTTTATAACTATTATATCTAACTAATATCGTAAAATATTTATACCTCGGTAGCCGTAGATATAGGTCTTATAGAGGCTACCTCCTTCTTCCGAAGTAGATGCCGACGTAGCAGCCCTTCCTTTATTACGAGGCTTCCTTCCTTATAAGCTTCGCTACCCCTTAGTACTTCCTATGCTAAGACGAGGGAAGAGAAATTAATAGGTAGAATCTTAATAGGTAGAATCCTACGTTATAATTACCCCCTAACTCCTACTATAGGGGAGCTGCGGGCCAGTCTTTATAATTCGGGAGAGCCGGTCCGCTTAGTTACTTTAGAGATTCGTCCTAGTGCCTATTTATAAGTTAGCTGCTAGTAGATTTAGAATATAATCGACGCGTAGATATAGAAGCTAGAGGTATCCTAGTTAGGGGTATATAAGCTATCTAATATAAGGGATAGTTAAAGGCTTAGGCTAACTAGTAGACGTCCCCCTTTAAGGGGTGGCTTATAGGCATTAGCTAAGTAATAGCGGACTATAACCCTAAAATAGGAGGAAGGTATATAAGCTAACCCGGCTAAAAGTTAGCACGAAGTAGTTAAGGTCGTATTATAAAGGACTTATAGGATAATTTACTAGAGCTCATATTAAGGGTTATAGATAAGCTCGACCTAGGAAGCCCGTTCTATACTCGTGCGGAAAGTAGAGGAGCATAGACACTAACCTACCTATTCTTTTTCTTCCTTATTACTCTCCTTATTCTTATAGCTCTCTAAGAGCTAACGAGCGGCGGACGATCTAACGAAGGCCCTTTCGCCCGCTATATCGACTAACTTTACCTCGACGACTTAGGAAGATATAAGTCCCTTTTATACTAAGTCGGTTACCTATAGATAAATTAGTTATCTCTATGCCCTTAATAGGATTCTACGTCCTGCCTCGCTAACCTCGGAGGTTTAGGACACCGAAACTTAATATAACGGCGTAGGCCGTCGCGACGAATAGGCGTAAGGCGAGATTATAGAGTTACCTATAGTAGAGGCATATCCGTTGCTCGTACTTAGTTATCTTTATAACTCTTCTTCTTATAATAATAAGAAGGAGAATCGTCTTCCTAGACCTATATTTTAGGTCGCTATATCCGACACTTGCTATTAGGTAGAGGTTAATAGTTCTATCGATAGTAGATAAGACGAATAAATTAAACTAGAGTTTAGCTTCCCTCTTTGTAAGCCTATTTAAATTACCTTAAGGTTCTTTAAGTATTTGCCTCTAGGCTCGTTACGATATATAAGATAGCGCGAGCGGAGGAGCTATAATAAAATTACTAGGAGGAAGGATATATAGCTTCGATCGCCTAAGCAAAGGTAGTAATCTCCTAGGCAAAGGTATAAGAGGTAGCGTGCTTAGAAATTTCGGAGGAGTAAGCGACCGGCCGTAGAAGAGTATTAAATTTAAGTATCTTTACTAGCCCTTAGAGTAGGAGTAGTCCTATAATACCTCCTTTATAAAATATTAATTTTATAAGCTAGTATTAATATCCTCGGTTATCTTTAAACGAGAATTATCGGGGAACTACCTTATATTAGCGATTTATATAATATATACTAATAGTTTAATACGTTATAGATTATAAATGCCCCTTACTACCTTTATTTATAGTTACCGTGCATTTAAGGAACGAGGTTTAATAATAGTATCGCCTTAAGCTCCGTATAACTTACCCTATTACTCTATAAATACTATAGTACCTCTAGGACACGGCTTATATACTAGACATTTAGTAAGCAAAGGCTATAGCGTAGGGTAAATCGTCCTTACTATTAATCCGAAGCATTCTACTCTAACTAGCCGCTAACGTAGGGCATTTTACTAGTATAGGTCGACGGTAATAATGCCTATAGTAAGGAGTAGCTATAGCGTTGCTAGTTAGTCGATACCCGTCGTAAAGCGGCCTATTAATATAATAATCCGATCGGTAGTAGTCTTTACTTTAGTATTAAAGGCCGCGCTTTTAATCCTTCTTATAGCAATTCTTTCGAGATAGATAATATATACTAAACTATAATACTATATATATATTGCTACTATTCGAGCTTCGATAGCCTTATCGTTTTTATTAGTCTTATATCCTATTATATAGTTTAGCTTTTCTAGACTAAGGTATATAGGAGGTACGACTTAATACTAATTTATAATCTTATACTTAAGATCTAAGTAAGTAATTACCTTTTGCTAGTCGTTAAGTCTAGAGTAGACTAATATCGTAAAAACACTAATCTTTACGAGGATAGATATAACCTTAGACCGTAAGCTATAAAGTTAGGCTATAATACGATCTATCGATTCGGAAGCTATAGCAAAGCTTAGGACGCTTAGGTTATATTCCTATCTACTAGCCTACTTCTCTTAGTAGTCGCCGTTAATAAGTAGTCGATTGCCCCTTACGTAGGAGGCCGTAATATCGAGATAAGATATTATTAAAACTAGGAACCGCCGTAATAGAACCGAATCGCCTTTACCTAGTCTATATACGTTATAGCTTCTTAGAGAGGAGATATAGGGATAAAATATCCATTATAAGTTAAGACCGGCCCTAAAAAGGTAGGTAGTCTACGACGAATCGTTAGTAGATATTATAGCGAATATATATAGGAGTAAATTTATAGCTAGTAGCTCTAAGCTAGCCCCTTAAGTTAAAGAAAGAGCTCGGAGTTATAAAACTACGTTACTATAGTATTCTATTGCTATAACGTAGTAAATATTCCTATCCCCCTTGCCTATAATAGTAGAGAAATGCATAGCGCCGAGCGCTTATATTATAACCTATAGTAAACTAAAATTATAGAAAATACTAAGTAGCTTCCGAAAGGGATTATAGTTAAAAGGTATATCGAAGACGATTAAGTAAGAGGATATAGTATTATAAAAATGCTATTAATAGAGCCCGTCGCGTAATACTACTATAGCCGGTATAGTATAGCTAAACGGCGACTCGACGACTTTACTAAGTCCTTTAGATTCTTAGATATTCGCTGCTAACGCGGTTTTCCCTAGCGTAACTCTCTTAGATAGCTACTTATTTAGTAGGGGGACTCCCTCGATATTATGCTCCCTAATAAAAGCCGGACTAAGGGTGTTAGCGGCAAGCAATAAGATAGGTGCTTAAGACTCTTTAAAGGTATAGAGGCCTTTTCCCGGCCTAGCGGCCTTAACGTAAAAACTACGTTAAATATAGTAGTAATTCCGATCGAACCCTATATAAACGTTATACCGAGGTTTGCCTACGTCGTACTTTATATGCTTTTAGCGATAAGATTCGCACGATATAAATAGCTTCTACGTCCGTAATACTTAAGGCGGCACCCTAGTTAAGGAAGTATCGAAACGAAACTTAACCGGTATAAATACTCTGTCTTTATAAGCTATTTTATATAAAGACTAGCGATTACTTTTGCCTATAGTTAAAAATGCTAGTATTATTACGTAGAGCGTGCACTTACCTACCGAAAATATAAGCCGCTTTAGTAGGACTTAACGCCCCGTTATACTTAGAGGGGGAACGCCTTTACATAGGAGAGGATTTTAGTAGAAGTAGAAGCCGGATAAAATAATTAGCTTAGAGAATATAATAATATCTATACTAGGTCTTAGGCAAGGGAAGTATCTAGGAAAAGAGCTACTAAAG